AAAATTTTTTAAAAAAAAAAAAAAAAAATTTTAAAAAAAACCCAAAATTAAAAAAAAACCCTAAAAATTGGAAAAAATTAAAAAAAAAAATTTTAATAAATTTTTCAAACCCCCTCTTAAAATTTTGAATTTTTTTTTTTTTTTTTCCCCCCCCCATTTTTTTTTAAACAAATATTTTTTTTTTTTTTTTTTTCCAAATATTTCCCAAAAAAAAAAAAAATTTTTTTTTAAAAAAAAAAAAAAAAAAAAAAAAAAAAAAAAAAAAAAAAAAAAAAATTAATTTTTTTGTAAAAATAAATATTTCTAAAATTGAAAAAAATAAAAACTAAACAATTTAATTTAATTGTTTGAAAATGGAAGTGTTTTGTTTCTAAAAATATGATTCAAAAAGGAAATAATATCAAATTAGACACAGAAAATTATAAAAATAAAAAAAAAAAATAAATAAAAAATAAATAAAAAAATTATAAAAAATAAAATAAATTAATTTAAATTATTTAAATTTATTAAAATTATTAAATCTATTTTTTTTATTTTTTTCTATTTCTAGAAAGCTTAATTATTTAAATTAAATTAAATAAAATTCACATCCACAAAAAACCAAATATAAAAGCTTTCTTGAAATTGTTAATTTTTTTTTTTTAATCTAATATATCAAACAAATTTAAAAAACAAATATTAATAAAACCATATTTATAATACAAAAAAATATAATATATACACAAACTTCCCATAACAATAACATATATTTAAATATACAAAACTTTATTTTTTTCTAAACTTAAATATTTATAAATAGCTATCCTATTATTATAATAATAATATTTTTTTCTCATTAAAATTATAAAAATAATTAAATTTTTTTATTTTTATAATAATATCATAGGTTGATCGATTACATCCCATATAATTAGCTCAATTTGTATAAAAGAAAATAAATTAAAAAAGTAAGTAAATGAAAAAATTTTTGTGTGTGTGTTGGATGTGTGAATGTATAAAACATTAACAAATAAAACAATTTCCATATTAAATTAATATTTGTGGCCACACCTTTATTGTTTTTTTTGTATATATTTTAGTAATTTAATATGTTTTTTTTTTAATTTATTTTATTTATTTTGTTTTTTTTATTTTTATTTTTTTTCTTACATTTTATTATTTTTTTTCTTTTATTTTTTTGTTATTATTTTCTACCATATCAAATCTCACTATTTTTATTTGTGCGACCATCTATCCAGAAAAAATTTAAATTATAAAAATAATAAAATATTTTTTATGATTTTATTATAATCTCTTCATTCAAATAATTTTCAAAATAATAATTTTTTTATTTATTTTAATTTTTTAACAATTATTAAAAAAATATAAATACTAAAGTTTTTTTTTCTTTATTTCAATTCAATTTCAAAATAAATATCAAATATAGCTTTTATTAAAAAAAAACTCAACTAAAATTTAAAAATGAATACTTCAAGAATCATATTATCAAATACCATTAGAAACCACGTTGCTAAAAGACAATTAACAACTTTTACAACCGCCTCATTAAGTCAAGTTAAGGGCAAAGGTAAATAGCATAATTTTATTTTTCTATAAATAAAAACCTACTAATTTTTTTTTTTTTCATTGATAGACGGTAAACTTTATACTGTCCCACCAAAGAAATGGGAAGAGGGTATTTCTACTCCAAGTGAATCCATTGTTAAAGCCGAAAGAGCTCCAAACATGCCAATTGATGAACTCCAAAAAGTTTCTGCTGCTAAATTTACCACAGCTACCCATAAGAAAAGTTTTCAACTCAAATAGATTTTTTTCTATTTTGTAAATAAATTTAAAAAAAATTAAAATAAAAAATAACATCAAAAAAGAAAAATAAAACAATGTAAATAGATTTGACAAACAAAAAACCAATAGATTCTAAATTAAATTGTATAATTTAAATAAGTTTAATTTTATTATGTTATTTTTATGTAGATAAAACTATATCTCCTTTTCTTATTTTCTCATTTGGTTTAAACCACCATTTAAACCCTTCTTTGACTCTATTTATATCTCCCTTGTATTTAATAAATGGGATTATAAAGTAATAAAATAATAAATAAAGCAATTTAAGCAATGAATATTAGATAGATCAAATTTGTAATTTTTGATATCTTTTTTTTTTACAATTATAATAATGAATATTTATAAATAATATTCTGTTTAAACTAGATATAGTATAGGCAATATGATTTGAAATATAGGGTATCTAGATATGTTTATTATAATGAAATTGTTTTTATAATAAAGAAAAAAATAATAAACTATTAAAAAAAAAAATCTAAATATAAAATAGTGGGGTAGTGTAAGAGCTGGGATGTATTTTGAATAGTGGTGTGTATGGGGTGTCTGGAATTTAAACAATTCATTAAATAATATCTAGATATCTTTGACACCCCCCACATTAAATTTTTTTTTATTCGATTACAATAATATTAATATAATTTTAAAATTGTTATTAAAAATCAATAAAGTTTACAACCTTTTTTCAATATGATTTTTAATATTTCTTGATACAGTTGTTAATTTTATTATGTTTACTTTTTTTTTTTTTTTTTTTTTTTTTTTTTTTTAAAAAAAATATTTAATTTTTTTATTTTTGGAAAAGAAGAGTTAACAAAATACAAAAAAAATAATTTTTTTTAATTTATGTTTATTTAGTTTTAAAACCCATTAATTTTTTGTTATTATTGCAATTTTTTAAATATTAATATTTTAAAAAAAAAAAATTTATAAAAATATAAAAATATTAAAAATGAAAACAAATATACTATTACTTATAATATTTCTTATTTTATTAAATTATATTGGCCAATCGTACAAACTCGAGAGATTAAATGAAAATGAAGAATGGGAATTAATTGAAGAAGATATATTCAGAGAAGAAGATGAAGATAATAGTGATGATAATATACTATATTACAAACCAATTAAAGTGGAAAGAAGAGAGAACCTATATATGAGGGTTAATAGAGACTATTTGGGTAACACCACAACAAACCTAGAGCCAATTTCTGTAAAGATAGAAATTCGTTCCAAAGATATACAAGAGACCTTCATGTTGTATGGATTAAATAACGATACTGCTATAAAAAAAATGGAACCCAAGGACAATAAATCTCTAACAACACCAATCAGGGTAGAGTCTTGTTTTAATGAAGAAAAACCAATTTACCTTTCATTATCCATGTTCAATTACTTGTGGGGTGGGGATTTAATCTTCAATATTGAAGAAAATGAAATTGACAAGTGTGAATCTAAAAATATCTAACACTAAAAAATAAAATAAAATACACTTATAAAGATATTTATTATAACACCAGCTTTATCTTAAATAAGAAATACCAGATATTTAAATATTAATTTTTTTTTTTTTTTAATTATTTTTTTTTTTTTTTTAATTTTTTTTTTTTTTATGATATTTTATAAAAAAATTAATTTCATTAGTTGTTTTAATAAAATGTATTGCAATAAATATAAAAATAATAAAACTAATAAAGATTTAGAGTTTGAAAGAAACCAAGCAACATTTTCAGTTGAGGAGCTAAATAGAATATTAAATGATAACGATCAAAACTCAATAAATATTAAAGTATGAGCAGATTTAAAAAAGAAAAGAATATTATTATTTTATTATGTGTCATACTCACATTTTATTGTTACCCCTATTTAGAATGAAATTAAAAATTTAATAGAAAGTGACCCCATCATTTCAAAACCACAAGAAATTCATTTTTTATCAAGAGAGGATCAATTTAAAAGAGTATTATATGTTTGTTCAAAATTAAGGGGTATCAGACAAAAGTATGGTGAAGCAGGCGTTATGCAGTATCATAACAATTTATTCGAAGAACTACCTTATATTATAAATGATTTGGTTTTTGCAAGTGCATTCAAGTCATTAGCAAGTGAAGAGCAACTAAATAAATGGTACCATCATTTTTTAAACTATGAATATTTAGGCAGTTATTCACAAACTGAATTAGGACATGGCTCAAATGTTCAAGCTATCGAAACAACCGCAACATATATTAAAGAAACACAAGAGTTCGAAATAAACTCACCTACTTTGACCTCAACTAAATGGTGGGTTGGTGGTTTGGGCAAATTATCCACCCACACCATAGTATTTGCTCAATTACTTTTACAGGATCCAGAGAACCCAAACAAATTAAAAAACTATGGTCCACATCCATTCCTTGTCAGTGTTCGTAGTCTTGAAAATCATCAACCATTAAAGGGTATTACCATAGGTGATATTGGTCCAAAACTAGGTTTCAATTTAATTGATAATGGCTTTTTAAGATTAGACCACATTAGGGTTCCACGTGACCAACTTTTAAATAGATTCTTCAACGTTACTGCTGATGGCAAATATATTAAACCAAAGCATAGTAGATTAATTTATGCTGGTATGGTTGGAGTTAGATCTGCAATTATCGAAAACTCTTTTGTTTCTTTAGCTCGTTCAACTACTATCGCAAGCAGATACTCAGTAATTAGAAAGCAATTTAAACTCTCACCAAAAGATAACGAAGAAAGAAAAGTTATTGAATATGCCAACCAAATGCAAAGAATTATTCCCCATATTGCCTCAACCTTTGGCTTCTACTTTACTGGAAATAGATTCGCCAAGGAATTTGATCAAATGATATCTCAAATCAAAGTAAACCAAGATACAACTCTTTTATCTGAACTTCATGCAAATTCATCCGCCTTAAAGAGCTATTTGACATATGCTGCTGCACAGGGAGTTAGTGAATGTAGACTATCATGCGGTGGTCATGGATATAGTCATTTTAGTGGAATTCCATACCTACAAGCCAATCAATTGGTAAGCGAATAATATTACCTTTATATATTTAAAACCAACCATTATATTAATATCAATTACCTTTTTTCATTTTGAACCACAGCATATAGTTACAGCAGAGGGTGAAAATAATTTACTTCCACAACAAACAACAAAATATCTCTTATCAATCATTAAAAAATTATCAACTAGTGAAGATGTAGATCAAGTTAAATTAGGTAAATCAGTGGAATATCTTAGAGACGAAATGAAATCAACATTAAAAAATATTGAAGAGTATTACTCTGGAAAAGACACAAGTATTTTGCATCCAGATACTTTATTGCAACTTTTTAAACACCGTTCATTCAATCTTTTAAGAATACTATCAGAAAACCTTCAAGATGCAATGATGAACTCTAAAGATTTAGCCTCGGTATGGGGGGACCTAAATGTAGAAATTAATCATATTGGTCAAGCTCATGCTCAATTATATGTTTTACAATCTTTCTATGACCAACTTTTAAAAATAAAAAATTCAAATCAAGTCTCTGAACCAATTAAATCCTTGATGGACCAACTATTCCAATGCTATTGCTTATATACTATCAATAATGAAATGGTAGATTTTGTTCAAGATGGCTATTTAGATTTAAAGGAAGTCGATCAACTACGTAAATCATTAACCAATGTTTATAAACAACTACGTCCCAATATCATCCCAATTGTCGATTCTTTTGATTTATGTGATGCAACATTAGGTAGTGCTCTTGGTAACTATTCTGGAAATGTGTATGACACTCTCTTCAACTGGGCATCAACTCAAGCATTCAATAGCAATACAAACTATACAAACGAAATTAATAATATAATTAATAAATCATTATATAGCAAACTATAAATATAAAAATAAACTTTTTTTTTTTTTAAAATAAATAATGTGTTTTATTTTGTAAAATTTTTCATTTTTAACCTTATTGATATTATCTTTGAATTATTTTTAAACCTTGAATAAACTAATAAAGATACCAAAATGATTAAAGCTAAACCTACAACACCGCAAACAATAATAACTGCTATTTTCCAATTTGCAAATTTATTACATTTAGATATTTGATAGTCTTTAAGTAAAACACCAAAATTAGGGTCGATTATTACCTTCTCGTTGAAACTATTGAAGGTTACTGAGGTAAAAGAAGCCTGGTTATGTTCTTTATTTTTTTTTGAAACTGATGGGATACCGATTGAATCTTCATCTGACAAAATCTTGGTTTGACTTTGAACGACTCTACCATCCACATGCATACGAGATGAAAAGGTTCCAACCAATGTTTGACCGTTTACTAGTGTTAATTCGACTGATCTGATTGTATCACCAAGCATTTGAACCTTTTTTTCACTATTAATTAAATTTTCCCCACAATCTTGATTTACTGATGAGGAAATATCAGTTTGAAAAATTAATTGAATCTGGTTTAGACTACTGTTTGATTTCCACTTTGTAATTTCTATTTGATATTTTATAGAGTTTGGTAAAATTGTAATTATATCACCAAGAAAGTCATGTTGTTGTGAACTTTCTGAATTATTGTTAATAGACATTTGAACATTAATTTCGGCGCCATTTTTTAATGTAGTACCGTAAACATATTGGTATCTATTTTCATTTGATACTAATTCCCATCTTTGATATTTATCTGTTAAATTATATGATTTAAAAACTTTATTGTATATATCCATTTCTCTGATTTGAACAATACCAATTTGAAATTTAGATTCTGTTGTTTCGATAATAGCTGTAGTGTTGTCGATAATTGGAGGCGGTGGTGGAACAGTTGAAACTATAGAGCAATCTGAACCTGAGTAACCATTGTTACATTGGCATTTTTTATTTGAAGTGCAAGTACCATTACCAGAACAAACAAGATTATTTACACCGATATAACATTCATCCTGTGAATAAAGAAATATATCGGCAGTACCAAAAGTAATTATATTGGCAATAGAATTATCGTCACATGATACATTAACTGTTAATGGCTGGTTATCCACCAAGGCGACATCTGACTGAAACATACAATATAACTTTCCCTTCTTCCAATCATCAGAGGATGTAACTTGACAACTGCTATTACCGATTGTAATATTTGGTGATGGGCATAATGAAAAACCAGAAATAGTCACAACAGCGGGTTCGTTGAAAAAAGTGGATGAAACACTTATAATTGTAGGCGGTATATATGGAATAACCGTCGACATCGAGAATCCATTAAATAGGTGATTGAAAAGCCATCTTATACTTTTACCATATATATCTTTTTCGCATGTTACTCTATAACTTTGATTACCCAAAAAAGTAGAAACTATATTTCTACAACTATATACTTTTGGTAATTCATCATCTTTGACAATTCCAATAGAATATTGAGGAACCCCATGTTTATCATAAGTTAAATATTTCCCCTCCACTACAACAATATCTGATTCTCTTTTGATAGGAATGAAAACAAGATCCGTTGCAAGATAATTTGTATATACTCTTTTTGGTAAGATATACTCTGTTTTATCTATTTGTAAAGAAGCACTTCCAGAAACAATTCTTGGGTAATCTTTGAATATTAATTGCTCTGAACTTGCTGAACTGGGTTCTAAGGGATCTACAAATGTGTAATTTCTTAAATAAATTGGATATTTGGTTGTAAATGTTCCGTTTATAGTGATTAAACCAGAGATGGCATTATAATGTAAAAATTGAACAAAGGGGTAGGCAAATGTAACTGGATAAAAACTACTTTCTCCCAAAACTGGACTGTAAGATATTTGTCCATCCCCACAAAATTGCTCAATGTTCCAATTTTCTTGGTTAATTAAAATTGTGTTTGAATCCACCATATCAACTCCTTGAAATAAATATTTGCCCCTTTCATTTGAAAAAGATAAAACGAAATCCTCCTTATCAAATCCAGATCCATAAATAGTTATGTAGTCACCAAAGTTTATTGGAGATGGTTTAATATTGGTAATTTGATTTTGGCACTCAATAAAAAAAATATTGTTGATTAAAATTACGAATAAAAATATTAAATGTGCCATGATTAAAAATAAAAATGGTGCAAAAAAAAATATAAAATAAAATTAAACTTGAAAAATTTTTTTTTTATTTAAAAAAAAATTTGGTCCAGGAATAATTATTTTCAAAATTCACATTTTCTTAAAAACTTTTCTTTGGGCATATGGAATACCATCACCAGAGGCCAACTTATTTGGAAAGAATAATGTAAGGGATTCTTGCCAAATTCTTTGGAAAAGAACAATGTAAAGGATTCTTCTATCTCTTTGTTTATTATTCCTTTTTGATTTAAATCATTATTTTTTAAAATTGTGAGATTTTAAAATGAAAATAAAATAAGAGATTGGATATTATTATTTTCTAGAAAAAAAATAGAAATAAATATCTTATAAAAGATAATTTATTTCTTTTTATCTTTTTTTTCCTAAAAAAAAATAAACACACCCACACACAAATTTATTTATTAATTAAATAATTAAAAAATTATTTTATTTTTATTTTTAAAAATATTTTTTTTTTTTTAATTTTTTTTTTTTTAAAATTTTTTAGAGAAACGAAAAAATTTTTTTATTTTTTTTTTTTTTTAATTTTTATTTTACATATCAATTTTTATTTAAAAAAAATAAAGGAAACTTTATAATTATAATTTTAAATAAAAAAAATGGCTGATGATGCTATTAGAATTGCTATTGTAAGTGGTGACAAATGCAAACCAAAAAAATGTAGTCAAGAATGTAAAAAGAATTGTCCAGTAGTTAAAATGGGTAAATTATGTATTGAAGTTAAACCAACCTCAAAAGTTTCATTCATTTCAGAAGAATTATGTAATGGTTGTGGTATTTGTGTTAAGAAATGTCCATTTGAAGCCATCCAAATTATTAATTTACCAAAGAATCTCAGCAGAGATACTACACATCGTTATGGTCCAAATAGTTTCAAGCTTCACAGACTTCCAACACCACGTCCAGGTCAAGTTTTAGGTTTAGTAGGTACTAACGGTATTGGTAAATCAACTGCACTTAAAGTTTTAGCTGGTAAATTAAAACCAAATTTAGGTATTTATGATGACCCTCCATCATGGGAAGATATCATTTCATTCTTCCGTGGTTCAGAACTTCAAAGTTATTTCACTCGTATTTTAGGTGAAGAATTAAAGGCCCTCATCAAACCACAATATGTCGATAATCTTTCAAAAGCTGTCAAAGGTTCAGTTCAATCAATTTTAGACGCAAAAGCTGAAAGACCAAACAAAGATCAAATGATTAGGGATTTAGATTTAAAGGAAGCTCTTCACAAAACTGTTGACGTTTTATCTGGTGGTGAATTACAACGTTTTGCTATTGCTGTCGCTGGTGTTCAAAATGCCGATGTTTATATGTTTGATGAACCATCATCCTATCTCGATGTCAAACAACGTTTAAAGGCTGCTCAAGTTATCAGATCCTTAATTGAAGCTCAAAAATATATTATCGTAGTAGAACACGATCTTTCAGTCTTAGATTATCTCTCTGATTTCATTTGTTGTCTTTATGGTGCCCCAGGTGCTTATGGTGTTGTCACTCTTCCATTCTCTGTTAGAGAAGGTATCAATATTTTCTTAGCTGGTTACATCCCAACTGAAAATATGAGATTCCGTAAAGAAGCCTTAACCTTCAAATTCTCTGAAACTGCCGAAAACGAAGAAATCAAGAAACATTGCAACTACAAATATCCAACTATGACTAAAACTCAAGGTACTTTCTCATTAGAAATTAAAGCTGGTGAGTTTACAGATTCTGAAATTATTGTTATGTTAGGTCAAAATGGTACTGGTAAAACTACATTCATCAAGATGTTAGCTGGTCAAATGCCAGCTGATGATGGTGCACAAGTCCCAGAATTAAACGTCAGTTACAAACCACAAAAGATTCAACCAAAATTCCCAGGTACTGTTAGAGAACTCATCCACAAACGTATCAGAGATACTTTCCTTCATCCACAATTCACTTCAGATGTTGTTAAACCATTAAACATTGAAAATATTATCGATCAAGAAGTTCTCAATCTTTCTGGTGGTGAATTACAACGTGTTGCTATCGTTTTATGTTTAGGTCAACCAGCTGATATCTATCTTATCGATGAACCATCAGCTTATTTAGATTCCGAACAACGTATTGTTGTCAGTAAAGTCATCAAGAGATTCATTCTTCACGCTGGTAAATCTGGTTTTATTGTAGAGCACGATTTTATTATGGCCACTTATTTAGCCGATCGTGTTATTGTCTATGATGGTATTCCAGGTGTTAAATGTGTTGCTAATGCCCCACAATCACTTTTATCTGGTATGAACACTTTCCTTAAAGCACTCGAAATCACTTTCCGTCGTGATCCAACTAATTACCGTCCACGTATTAATAAATTAAATTCAATTAAAGATATGGAACAAAAGAATGCTGGTAATTATTTCTTCTTAGATGATCAATCAACTGATTAAACTAAAAATAAATAATAAAAACAATAAAATAAAAACATATATTTAATAACAAAAAAAATCAATAGCAACCCAACAACAAAACTCCCACTGTAACAACAGTAACAATAAAAACCTCCACTTTTTTTTTCGCACTCGCCACATTTTTAAAAAAAATGATTATAATTTTAAAAATAGAAAAATAAAAAATTATTAAAATACATTCATATCTTTTTTTTTTTTTTTTTTTTCTATTTTTAAATTTTTAGAATATTTAGTATATTTTTCTATTACCAAAAAAAAAAAAAAAAAATGGAATTAAATTTCTTCATCTATTAGATCTTAAAAAAAAAAAAAAAAAAAAAAGAATTCTTTAAATATTTTTTTATTTTAATTTTTTTTTTTTTTAAATTATTTTTTTTTTTTTTTTTTTTTTTTTTTTTAAATTTATCGACACATTTGTTATTGCATAATTTATAAATAATTTCTTTCGCATTATACGATTAATTTGTTTTTTTTTTTGGATTGCAAAATTTATAAATTTAAAATAAAAATTAAAATAAAAAACAATGGGATTTATAACATCAAAAGGAAAAGTTAATCTCCCATCCTATAAAGGTGGTACAACTATTGATAAATCTATAATGTATCAATATGTCATTAGTCCATCATGTAATGTTATTGTCGAATATTTTCCAAAAAGTTTAGCGTATGTATTTATTTAAAATAAAAGGAAAAAAAAAAAAAGATTATAGTTTATAAAGAATATTTGTTTATTAATCATTTTCATTTCATTTTCATCTTCATTTTTAACAGACCAAACTTAGTATGTTGTTTAAATATAATACTGAAATAGTGTTTATATAGTTTAATATTAATTCTATTATTTTTAAAATAAAAAAAAAAGATTACAGCAATTGGATTATTTTGTAATATTTTAGGTATGCTAACCATATTTTATTTTATTGGAATGAATGATAAAAAAGAAGAATCACCAACAATCGACGATAGCAATTTAAGATGGGTATATTTCTTTGCTGGAGCAATGATTTTTATTTATATGATGATGGATAATATTGATGGTAAACAAGCAAGAAGAACCAAAACATCATCACCATTAGGAGAATTATTCGATCATGGTTGCGATTCATTGACTGTAGGTTTGCTTCCTTTGACAGTCGGTATTTCAATTGGTATTCGTAGCTGGGATATTTTAATTGCATTTATGGCAGCAACCATTCCATTTTATTTAGCTCATTGGGAAGAATACTTTACACATCATTTAGTATTAGGCGCATTAAACGGACCAACCGAAGCAGAGTGTATGGCAATTTTATTTTGTATTGTAACTGGTATTTTTGGACAATCAATTTGGTTCACTGCCATCGAATTACCAATTATCGAATACAAAGGTCAATTAAACGAAGTTATTTTCTTTGCTATGGCTATCATCTCATTTGTTACCGCTTTTCAAAATATTTTAACCTCAACTAAAAAAGCCTTATCATCCAATATCAGTTTATTTAAAGCCTATTCCCAACCATTACCATTCATAATATTTTTAATTTCTGAATTCATTTGGGTTACTTTATCACCAAAAGTTTATTTAAATAACCCAGTAATTCATATTTTATCACTTACTTTTATATTTTCCTATATTGTTGTAAGTATTATTATTGTTATTATTTTTCTTCAAAAATAATACTAATGAATCATTTTTATTCCTATCATTTAAAATAGTGTCGTTGTATTGTACAAAGAATTTGTCAAGAAGATTTTAGATTGTTCTATAAACCATTAATCTTTTTAATTGCATGTGTTGCCAACTCAATTGCTCAAAAATATTTCAACATTTATTTAATCGATGAACAATTGTCAGTCAAATTATTATTTTTATTTAGTTTAGGTTTTTTCATTCACTTTACTTTTAATATTATTATTGAAATGTGTCAAGTTTTAAAAATCAAGGCTTTTACAATTCCAAAAGAAAAATCAAAATAAACAGGCGAAAAAACCCAATCAAGTAATAATAATAAACGTTCAAAAAAAAAAAAAAAAAAAAAAAAATTAAATTATTAAAAATTTTAATAAAGGTTTAAATTTTAATAGTGTATTACTATTGCATTGCAAAATAAAATATAATGTTTATTTGTTTAATTGATTTTGAATTTGCTCTATGTTGTTTTCCATCTTTTCCAATCTTTTAGAATGATTATTTAATATATTTTCTATGGATGTTAATTTTTCTATTATTATATTTTGAAAATTTAAAAACCCGTTAGGGGTTTGAGGTTGGGGTTGTTTGATTTCTATTGCTTTTTCAACAATATATGAGTATAACGATACTTTGAAGTTTGATTTTGGTTTAAATGATAATCCAATTCCTTTTGAGTTTAATTTTTCCGAAACTAATGAATAGATCTTGATATCGTCGTTGTTATTATTGTTATTTAAAAAACCTATAGCTTTAATTTTGTATTTTTCCTCTGCCAGCTCCAATATTTTTTTGTCTGTTAATTTGAAATTTGAATGTTTTATTATATTGACTTTGTTTGATAGTGTTGATGATACCCCTATATACCCTCCATTATTGATACCATTCATTTTAAAACTTAATAAGTCCGGTGTTGATATCTCATTATTTATTTTGATTGAGTTTATTAATTTAATTTCATTATCTATAAATTTTAAAAATAAAATTGATGATTTGCTATTGTCAGTGTCTATATTTCTTTTATTTGATACAGTTGTCATTTCTATTTCCGATGTAATATCTAATATTTTGCTATGTGATTGGGCACCCTCACTATTATTACTATCCTCTTTGTTGTTATCCAAAGAGTTTATCATAAATAATGATGGGATTGATGATGTGTTGTTACTATTGGGCTTTAAAAATAATATCTCTTCTTCTTTGTCCTTTTCTTCATTATTTATGATATCTAAAATTTGGATTGATTTTTTTTCTGGTAATTTTAAAATTTCAAAAGCATTACTATTGCTACCAAGGTTGGTTTTGATTGATATATGGGTTGAGACTAGCAGAGTTTGATTATCTATCCATAACATTTTTATAAAATCACTATCTTGGTCATAAACAAATCTATAAATTTGATAGTTCTTATTACCAATTTCTTGAATCGAGTTCCATTTTAAAAATATGATTTCATTGGATGTGCATCTAAAAAGAAATAAAGGAATTAATATAAAATAACAATAGTTTAAAAAATGTAGAAAATTTTATTTACATTGATAATATTAAATTTGACCATTTTATGTCAACTATCGAGCTATTAATTCCCAATTCTTCGATTTGTATTGTTTCTAACTTAATATTCGGTTTATCTAAAACATTTTTGAAAAGAAAAAGTTTCTTATCGGTTGCACAATAGACTACCAATACATTTGTGTCGATACCATATTCTATAATTGATTTATACGATAACTGTGGAAAGAGGTCGTTGTGGTTTAATGTCTGTATAATTTCCCAATTATTTTTTATTGAATCAAATTTATAAAATGTTAAAATAAATTTTGAATAGGTAAATAGTAAATTATTATTTTCGATGCATTTAAAGTGTATAAATCTAAATAACATTACAATAAAAATAAATTAATACCACAAATATATATCTTAAAAATAAAGAACAAATGAATAATCTGAAATATTTACTTTTGTTTAATATGCTTTATTTTACTATTACAATCTGAAAATATTGGTAAAAAATTTAAATATTCAAATGAATCGTTATTATTACTATTATTATTATTATTATGTTCACTCTCTTGAGGCCATATTAAATAAGGTTGGTTTTTATTATAAAACACATTAAAATAATTTATAACAATATTATTATTATATAATGAATTATCCACATCAATTACATTTTCAAATTTTAAATTGTGATTATTCATTATCATAAAAAACGAAATAAAGAAATAATAAGTCGGAATTGTTAACTAAAAAAAAATTATAATAAAAAAAAAAAAAATTTTGAAAAAAAATTACTTTTTTCCCAAAAAAAAAAATTGTTTTTGATAAATGAGGAAAAAATTATAATTATTTGTGTTTTTAACCAAAGTTATTAATTATTTTTTTTGTGCAGCGAAAAACATATTTGCACACTTTCTTAACAATTTTTTCAATGATCACTGAACCGAAATTTCAACCATTTTCCAAAAATCAGCTGCAAAAAAAAACAACTTTTTTTTAGCTGTTAAAAAAATTTTATTTTTTTTATTTTTTTTTATTTTTATTTTTATTTTTATTTTATTTTTATTTTTATTTTTATTTTTTTAAAATAATTAATAGCATTATTGCTAATAATATAATTATATTCGATTAACAAATCATACCACACTATATTAGAAAAGTTATAGCAATAACCATAAAAATAAAAATAACAATTGTTTATAAAAAAAAACAATAATTATAGTAGAGGATATAAAAATATTATCAGGGTATAAAAATAATATATATTACAATAAAGTATAAAAATAATTAATTGTGGAATAAAGTATTTGAATCTTAACTAAATAAGCAACATATAAAAATTAAAGATGTAGGTTATTTAGAAGCGTTTAATATTAATAATAATAACAACAACAAAATCAACACTGTTATTTTTTTTTGAAAAACCTTTAAATTTTGTTTTGTTTACCCACACTTTCACACAATCAATCACTCTCAGAAAAGATAGATCTTTTTTTTTTTTTTTTTTTTTTTTCAATTTTTTTTTATTAATTATTTTTTACAAAAATATAAAATTGTTTTTTTTTTAATCATTAAATTTTTTTTTTTTTTTTTTTTACTTTATATATAAAGCTTTAATAGTATTTAATAATATTTAAAATATTTAAAATAATAATAATAATAATAATAATAGTAATAATAATAATAATAGTATTGTTTTTGTTTTTAATTAACTAAAAAAAAAAAATAGTTAATTAAAATATACAGTATATTATAACAGCGTATATAAAAATAATAATAAATTGGTATATAAAAAGAAGAATTGAAAGAGGAAGGGGGTATTAAAAGCAATAGTAATAGTGTATGTTTTATAGACAGAAAACAGAACCAACATCAGGAATAGCAACGATGGCAATAATAATAGCATATGCGTCATTGTTTTGATTTAGAGATTTCAAAATTATACCAATTTGGAAAAAACCTTAAACCAAAATAGTTTAACAACATATTATTAAATTTTGTCTTTTTTTTTTTTTTTTTTTGTTTATTTTATATTTTTGTTGTCTGTAATTTCCTTTGTTTTTTTTTAAAAACACCAAAAAATTCTCACACCCAATTTTAAAAAAAAAAGATTTCTTTAATTTTCTTTGAAAAAAAGAAAAAGAAAAAAAATCTAAAATACTATTTTATTTTCGATAGCAGTAGAATATTATTATTATTATTATAATTTTAAAATGTATTTGTAAAAATAGGATAAATAAATATTTATTTGGTTTATTTTCATGTTAAATTATAAAATTAATTCAATTCAATTTAATTTAATTTAATTTAAATAAATAAAAAAAAGAAAAAAAAAATTGTTTGATATTTGAAACAAACAAACAAAACCACTTTATAATACCACACCCAAACACATAAAATATTTATGCACCCACATTCACACAAAACTAATATTAAATACATAGACATAAAGACACACACAACACACCACACACAGTAATTCATATAGCGAGAACCAAAAAAAAATAAAAAAAAATACATCCTATATTTAAAAATACATATAGAGTTTATATATCAATTTTAAAAATAATATATAATAAAAATAGGTGGAGAATAGAAAACAGTAATACAACATCATATTATTTATCATCACAACAATACAAAATTGTTTTTTTTAATTTAATTTATTGTTATTTTTAAAATTTTTTTTTTTTTTTTTTTTTTTTTTTTGACAAAGTGTTTTATTTTTAACATCAAATAATCTATCTATCTGCTCTAACACATACTAAATATTTATCCATTCACAACATCCAAATATAATAACAAGAATTTATATATTATCTTAAAGGTTAAAATAATAATAATAATCATAATTATAATCATATAAAATATTATTAAAATCCTTTTTTTTATTTTTTTTTTATTTTTTTAATTATTTATCCTTATTATTTAATTTTAATCAAAGAATAAACCATATTAATTTTTTTCTAACATAATCTAATAGTTTTTTTTATGTATATTAGAAGTTAAATAAATTTAAAAAAAGAGAAGAAAATAATATTTTTTAAAATTTTTTTAAAAATAATTGTATTATAGTAAATAGTAATAATAAAATAGTAGTGTAATTAAATAAATATTTATATAATGGGTATATCTACAGAAGATAATAATAATAATAATATTAATAATAATAATAATGGTAATAATAATAACAATAAAAATAATGATGAATCATTAAATAGTATCAGAGTAGAAATTAAAAATGATGAATCAGCAACAAAAAAACAAGATGTTCAACTTACAGAGTCATCACAAACAACTGAGCAACCAACTGCTGATTCAACCACACCAGAGCCATCAGATTCATCGACACCAAATCTAACAGGTTCAGCCGCATCACCACTTTCAAAATCTCAACAAAAAGATTTAAATGAATCACAAACTACAAGAGATTTATCCCTATCAAACCAATTTTCAAACACCTTAACAGATTCACAAACAGCCGATACACATACAATATCATCTGTACCAAATTCACCATTAGCAGAAGATTCACCAGAGTTAACACAATCGATAGATTTAAATCAAAGACAAGAAATTTCACCACCATCTATTTCACCAGATAGACCACATTCACCAATATCATTAGATGATGGTGTTAATAATAATAACAATAATAACAATAATGATGAACAAAATACGAGCACAGAAAGTTTAAATTCATTAGTGAAACCACCTCAAAATCCAAGAATTCAATTAATAAATAATGGTGGATCATCTAATAAATCAAGCTCAAGTTTAGAAGCACATAAATATAGAAATTTTTTTGGAAATAAATTACAAACCCCAAGTGTTAAAGATGATCCATTGGCAGATGATATGATACATTTACCAAAAGATGATTTACAATTTACAAGATCAGAACTTTATCATAGAGTTATATCAACTGGTATGTCCTTACCACCAGGTGTCCCAACAGTGTTTTTCAATCCCTTAGAATATAACCAACATATTAAAACATCAATAGACACATTTAATGCCCCAAGAAAAACCATTACAAGAAACTATGAAAAATTCAAAAAAGATCAAGATCGTCTTAGTCTTATTAACCCAGAAATGATAGAAAGATATGAGTGTGATTTGGTTTATGAAAGGGAATTGGCCCAATCAAAATTGTCTCAATCACAATCAACACCTCCACCATCAATTCATTCATCAAGAAATAGCGGCGGTATATTGGATGAAAGGGATATACCTCAATTATGGGTAGAGTCTGGTGATGACCTTCACTTTGAATATCAAGCACCAATAACATCAAATACCGACGAAGAAAACTCTGAATCTCGAAAAAAGCAGCGTTTAGCTTTATTTAAATATTTTAAACCAGACTACAACTGGGGCTCAGGTACAGAGGTATCTTTATGCTCAAGAACTCCAGTAGAGCCATGGAAAAAGCCATCCTCAACCAGTGTTTTGATAGAGTTTAAAGGATTGGTATTTTTATTGGGCGAACATGAACCATTCTATTGTCAAATGTTTTTATATGATTCAGTCAATAAGACCAGACTATCAGAAGTATACCATTTTGATTTCAATTCTGAACGTTTAAAACAAATTATAGATAACAAAGAAAGCGAAGATACACCAGATTATTTAACTCAGTGTAAACATGTATTAGTATCATTACCACACAAACAAACAAAAGATGTTTGGATCGTAGTTAGAGTAAATAAAATTATGCAAGGCGAACCAGATCTCATCAAGGAACCATACACCAGATTAGATGAAAAAGAAACATCAAAATCAAGAGTTAAAGTCTCAACAACTATTCAAGATATAGGTAAACGTTTAGGAAGATTCCATCAATCATTCTCCATTACCGCCCTTCCATTAACAAATGAAAATGGTAGTGTCAAAGTTGGTAGCCATGAATGCGATCTTTATAGACAAGTACCTAAAGATTTATCCGATCTTCAAGACTTAATCTCTGATCTTAGAGATTCTTCGAAAAAAAAGAAATTAAAAACTTTATTAGGTGCCTTTACTTGTATAATACATAAAACCGAAGGTGATTTACCACCTTATGGTCAACGTCTAGATCCATCTTATAATTTTATTAAAGCTTCAGAACCATATAATCATCCTTCACCAATTGATTCAAACAAATCTTACAATAATGTACCAACAAATTTAAATAACAATAATAATAATTCACCATCAACTACCTCAACCACCACAACCACCACAACCACTACGACTACAACCACTACTTCAGATTTACTATTACAAAAATTAAATGAATCACCAACTATCACAGTTACACCAGATGGCACACCTCCACTAAAATCAGTCCAATCAGCAGCTTCAATTTTATCATTATCATCAAATGATGCATTTACACCCCCATCACCATCATTAAATGGTTTAGAGGATTCACCAGCACTCTCACCAAGAAGACAATTACAACATTCAAGCTCTTATTCAAATAGTATCAAACGTAATCAAACTTTAATATCTTTAGCTCCAGTCATTCCAGCAATTCGTGAAGTTCAATGTTTTTCCAAATTTCCAGAATTAATCCCACATAATCAATTATTTAATAATTTATATATTTACCCAGATACTGCAAATTTAAATAAAGCCCATGGTAGAAATATTACAATCAAAATCGAAATTCGTGAAGATGATATCTTGTCAAATCCACCACTCAAATTTATTTATGGTAAAAGCTCAGGTCAAAGATTCACTAATGTTTTCTACACTGAAACTCATTACCACACTAAAAACCCCCTATTTATTGATGAAATTAAAATTAAATTACCCCCAATGTAAGTAAAAATTAATTTTTTTTTTTTTCTTTAATATTTTTGTACTAATTTTTTCTTAAAATTTAGTTTACCTCCAAAGCTACACATATTATTCACATTTTATCATGTAGTTTGCAAAGTTGGTAAAAGAGATGAATCATCAGATAATATAATTGGTTTTTCAACTTTTCCTTTATATAGAGAAAAGAAATTTGTAGACAATGGTCAGCAGGGTCTTCAATTAGCAGTAGGTCATCCAAAAGATAAATATTTAATGAAGTTTAGTGAGGATTATACATTATTAGAAAATGGTAAAACTATATTCAAATTTGATCTTAAATTACTCTCAAGTATCTACCCACAAAATACCCATATCAACAGATTCTTATTATACTCAAAGGATGATTTACTCAGTGACAAGGATTTAACTCAAATTTTAAACCAGTTCATATTATTTGATCCATTAGAATCGATAAAGTTCTTCCCAGTTATTATGAACCATCTTTTATTTGTAATTTGCAATAGGGAATCAACAGTTGGTAGTACCGCCATTAAAGCATTGCTTATTTTGCTTACTAAAATTCAAAATATACTAGAAGATTCAAATATACGTGTACCATTTTTATCATCATATATCAACCATTATTTCGACAATCCACAGGATACTAAAATTCCAGTCCATACTGCATTATGCCAAAGATTAGTTTTGTTCTTAATGAGAAAAAGGGTAATTATTATTAATAGCAAAAAAATTAAATATATTTTTTAAATATTAATTTTTTTTTTTTAAACTCAGTCAAACGATTTTGCAGATATTTCAAATTCATCAATATTTTCATTTTCATGGTTTATTTACGATTTAATTGTTAAAAGTATTGGATTATATAAACTCGATGGCAAGACACCAATAAAAGATGGAGCAACATCACCATCAGCACCCTTCTTTGAAATCCACGACCCAGAATTTATTAAATTTATTCCAAAGTTGGTGTCATTTGGTCTTTCTCATATTTTAGGTGCAGTTTCTCAAAATAATGATTGTAGATTAGCATCAGATGCCAACAACAATTTAGCACTATTTATTAGAGATTTATTTTCAGTATTCGACAGAGGCGTAGTTGTTGACCTTTTATTCACCTTTTTAAATGACATGAACCAAGGTATTTCAAAAGATATATTAAACGCAACAACATTTTTATTTTATAAGTTCCATTTCCTCAAAATTATTTGCGATTATGAACATTACATCAACTTGAATGTACCAACTTTATATTCAATTACAAATATTCAAAGCTTATCAAATAAAATCAAAAATTCTCACCCAATTTCAGGTATTTTAATTAGAGAGGTTTTGGATATTATTTTCCAAGGTAATCATTCTGCAGAGGTCAGAAATATAGCTTTTTCTACACTTAATACAATTTTAACCAAGCACGACTATGACCAACGTTATCAATCTCAAGCAAAAAAAGAAAGAATTGCTTCTATTTATTTCCCATTGGTTTTGGAATTAATTGACCATCAAGATAGATTTAACAGTTGGTTTAGTGCAAATGTTTCAGATATCTCTGAGAAACGTTTGTTTATTTCTTGTGTACTATTTGTTTTGAAAAATCTTTCAAAGCAACTATTAAAACAATGGTTCAACAAAGAGGTTCCACAAAGATTAAATATCCTCTTTGAGATTTTAGCTCAGTTTGCAACCGCTTTTGAATACCAACAAATTAAAGACCAGTCAAGCGGTCCAGAAATTTTAACTAGCCCAGCTTTAATCAATTCAAGTTCTAATGGCAGCTCATCAGTTTTACCAATTTCATCATCTGGTAAATTATCTAAAGATTTATTAATGAGAAAGGGTACCACTTCGCTATCACCACAAAAATTCGATTCGCAATTAAATCTAGTCAGAAGCAGCTCAAGCGCTGTATTTATGAAGGACCAAAATTCACCATCATCAATTGGCCAATCTTCTTCGTCACTTTTAAAGCAACAATTACAACAACAAGCCCAACAAGCTGCTGCACAACAAACACAAACTCAGCCATTATCACCATCATCATCGCTACAACCTCAACCAATTTCCATCTCCTCCTCATTTAGTAATGATTTATTAACTGCTTTTGCCAATGCTCCAATCAAAGAGGCCAGTAATTCACCATACTTTTCACCTGGTTTATCAACACAATATTTAGGTGTTCCACCTCCACCACCTCCACCACAAACATCAAATGAATCTTCATCCACAGGTAGTCGTAGTAATAGATCATCATTTAATGGTAGTATCGGTATTCCTATGATGAACGGCTCTACTGGTATGGCTCCACCCTATACCAAGAAGACTGTACCACCCAATGAACCAGTTTTAACAGCTGAAGCCAATTTGATAATTTTAGATTTTGTCGAAGATTTTATAAAATACCAATACCCAATTCTTAAGGAAATTAACTCCCCAGTATTTGAAAAGCTCTTCCAATTGATTATTACCTTGTTATCCAAAAAGCAATCACATCGTGTTACCCATTGTCTTTTCGCCTCACTCCGTTCATTTGTACACAAATTCAGAAAGCATTTCTTTAAAGACAACTCAAATAACTATTGTAATCTTTTATGCTCTGAAATTTTACGTTATTGCAATTTCCCATCAAAAGAAATCAGAGCAGTCTCAACAAGCTTCTTTTATTCAATGATTAAACTTAATAATCATATGGTTGGTAACTTTGGTCGTATGAAAATTCAAGCTACTATTGCCTTATCAAATTTAGCAAGTTCAGGTGTTTTCAAGAATGATTTTAAAAATTTAGAGCGTTCATTCTATACTCTTTCAAAATATTCATCTACCGATATCGCCAGAGTTGAATCTGATAGCTCTATAATTTCACAAGAGTTACTTGAAACTCTTTCTACCAGAGAAGAGATATTCAACGTCAAGAAATTATTTAGCGATAATATTCAAAAGATGAGCCTTAAGCTCTCAAAGATTATCCGTGATACAGTTAGAGTTAATTTATTAAAAGCAAACTCTGACCCAGAAACTATTCACGAGCTTTTCTCTGAGATTGCCGCAGGTTATTCAGATACTCCACTTATTAGAGCCAAGTGGTTAAATCTTTTATCAGTCAAACATGTTGAGGAAGAAAATTATTTCGAAGCAGCAGTATGTAAACTTAGAATTGCACTATTAATCATTAGTCACTTAGAGCAAACTCAAAAACTTCCATGTCCATTAGATCTCAGTATATTCGATCAAATATGCCCAGGTATGAAAGAAACAGTCATTGAAGAAGATGAAGGTGTTTATCAATCAACCAATTTCTCTGCAGCTGATCTTATTTCAAATGTTTCACTTGCAACCAATCAATTGCGTATGGGTGAATACTTTGAGTACTCTATTCTATTGTACAAACTTTTAATGCCACTTTATGAAAAGAGTAGAGATTTTGTAAATCTCTCAGAGTGTCACAAACATATTACCGACCTTTACAAAGAAATTATTAAAGCAATCGAAAATAAATCACGTATGTTGGGCAGATACTATCGTGTTGGTTTCTATGGTGATGCATTCGAAGACTTGGATGGTCAAGAATTTATTTATAAAGAACCAAAACTTACCCATCTTTTCGTACTTTCCGAACGTTTGAAGACATTCTATCGTGAAAAATTCCATCAAGAGGTTGTTGTATTCCCAGATAGTGGTAAAATCGAAAGATCATCATTGGATCCAACTCGTCTATACCTTCAAATCACATCATTAAAACCATACTTTAGCAATGACTTTGTAGATTCTAGACCAGATTACTTTGAAAGACACACACTTTTAAAGAACTTTGTATTCATTACTCCATTCACATTAAATGGACGTACTCAAGGCTCAATCACAGAGCAATTCCACAGAAAGACTATTCTTACTATTGAAAACACTGCTCCAAATATGTTAAAAAGATATATGGTCATCTCAAAGAAAGAAATTGAAATTTCACCAATTGAAAATAGTATTGAAACCATTCAACAACGTAATAATTTACTATCGATCGAAATTAATCAATCTCCACCAAATATTAAAACTCTTCAAGGTGTACTTCAAGGTAGTGTACTATTACAGGTTAATGCAGGTGCTTTAGAGATTTGCAGAGGATTTTTGGCCAACCAAATGCGTTCAAATTGGCCAGCACATCATGTCGATAAATTGGCACAAGAATGTTCACGTTTCCTTAAGCTTTGTAAAATGGCTTTAGATATTAATAAATATAGAATTCAAATGAATCAATACAGTTTCCACCAAGAATTAGAATCTGGTTATAATAAACTATCTTTCAAAATGGAACGTTACATCAAAGGTGAAATCGCCAATGAACAAGATGAAGAAATCATTGACCAAGATCAACAAGCCGAAACTGTTCATTCTTCTTATGGTATTGAAGATGAATCATCATTGATTACTGATTTATCCTATGATGATGATATCTCTATAAAAGAATCCTCTCCAAATAATCTTTTAGATAACTTTTTACCAAACCTTAAAAAGAAAACAAATGGCCATTTAACAATCAAAGAGGATAAAAGAATTAAAAGAGGCTCTGCTGAATTTGATTATTCCATTCAAACACCAAGATCAATTGATAAAAAATCAATTAATAACCATTAAAAAAAATAAAATAAAATAAAATTAAATTAAATTAAATAAAATAAATTCATGTAAAATAAAGAATTATATTTCAAATATACATATAGAATTTTTTAAATATGCATATGGTTAATATATTTTAAAGATATTTATATCACTTGTTTTTTTTTTTTTTTTTTTTTTTTTCAAAATAATGAAAATTACTTAATTGTGCAGGAACACACACAACATAACAAAAAAAATTTACCAAAAATTTTTTTCTTTTTTTTCAAAATTTTTAATTTTATTTTTAATTTTTTAAATTTTTAATTTTTTTTTTTTTTTCTTTCATTGATTATATATAATTACAAATTCTAAAATGGTAATAACTTAAAATATAAATATTTTTTATATCTTTTAGTAAATATTAATAAATAATATTTCTTTGATGTAGGGTGTTGATATTTAAATTAAAAAACAAAGGACTGGGGCCCAACCCACCAAAAGTTCCACCCTTTCTGTCCCCGTATGTTTTTAAAAATTTTTTCTTTTTTTTATTTTAAAATTTTTTAATTTGTCGATATTTTTTTTAGTATGTTGGTACCTTTACCAATGGGTCTCAATTTGGTTCATTAAGAAAAAGAAGGTCTCCCTTCCAAATCCAAATTGGGGGCGGGGAAGTAAAAAAAGTTTTTTTTTTTTTTTTTTTTTTTTTTTTTTTTTTTTTTATTTATTAAAAACTTATTTTAACAATCCCTTTTTTTACTTTTAAACAGTCAAGTCATCAAAGGTTGGGATGAAGGTGTTGCTCAAATGAAAGTTGGTGAAATCTCAAAATTAACCATCTCACCAGACTATGGTTATGGTGCTCGTGGTGCTGGCGGTGTTATCCCACCAAATGCCACCTTAATTTTCGAGTATGTATTAAACATTTAATTAACATACCTCCTATTACCATATTCTAAAACAAATATTAATATTTTTATTTTATTTTTTTAATCAATTACAGAGTTGAACTCATTGGCTTCAAATAAACAAAGGACCTCTTATCCTATTAAAAATTAGCTCTTTGCTTAAATAAATAGTGTTATATTATATTTTAAAAATTAATTTTTATACTGTAAATCTGACTCTCTAAATATTTAGATTATTTTCACATTACAATATTCTTTTAAAATTTACATCATTTATAGATTATAATAATTACTTTTATAATAAAGTAATAATAATTGTAATTATATTTATTTAAGAAAATCACACATTGTAAATCATATCATTTTTTGTTTTCTTTGATTATAAATAAATAGTAAACCAAATTATAAATAAAAAAAAAAAAAAAAAATAATTGATTGAAAAAAAATAAAATAAAACTACTGCAGATTGCTTTACTATTGCCATTTTAAATTTCTTTAGGAATAAAGAAAATAATAGGCATTTTCTAAAATTAAATTTTTAATTTACTTGTAATTATATAAATTTATAAATTTATAAAAATTTAATTAATAAGATCTTCATTTAATTAAGTTTAATATTTTAAATTTCATTTTTTTTTTTATTATATATGTGGTTATTTTAACACTATTTGATTTTTTGTGAAAAAATATATAAACTTGTTTTATTGATATAAATAAACAATTTATAAAAATTAAATTATTTTCTTGTTGTAAAAATTATTTAAATATATTATTTATTTTAGTAATAAAATTTTCTTGTATAAAAATATTGATAAATATAATTAGTGGATGGGGTTAATAATTTAATTTTTTCAAAATTTTTTTTTAAAATTATGATGATGAGGAAAAAAAATACAAGAGTTACTGAGGATGAGGTGTGGTAGAGTAGGAGAAGTAGTAATGATGGTGGTTTTGGTGATATAATTACTTTTATACTTGGTAGGAAAAGTAATTTTAATATTTATAAAATGATTTAATTTTATTATATAATATTAAAATATTTATTAAATTTATTTTTTAAAATAAAATTTGATCTAATAAAAATTAAAATAAACAGTTAAAAAAATAAAACAATTATTTTTTTGTAACCTGTTGTTGATGCTAACATTAAATTACAAATATGATATCAAAAAAAATTAAATTTAATTCAAAATTAAATAAATTATATCTTTTGATTTCCAAATGGACATTTAATACCATCTCTTAGTAACACCAGCTCATTACTTTCAAATTTTGACACTGCTTTTAAATTTTTATATCAAATTTAGTTATTTTATTTAAATTTTAATTATTTCTATTTTTATAATATTTGTTTTTTCTTAAATATAAAATAAAAAAAAAAAGAATTGTTTTAAATTCATTTCAAAATATCAATTAAATTAAAATATCCAAAATAAATAAAAAAAGGAAATTGTTAATTTCAAGTTTTATTTAATTTTACTATTATTATTATTTATTTATTTATTATTAAGTTGTTAAAAAAAATACTTTTTCAAAAATGTTATTAAGTATGTGTGATTATTTTAAATATCAATAAATATTTTTCTATTTCTAACTTTTTATTTTATTTTCAACTTTAGAATCATTAATTAACTTTAACATTGTCAAATCATCAAAATCAATTGAATTAAATTTAAATAATTTAAATGACCAAAAATATGGTGCAAATTTAAATTGTAGTAACAAAACTACTTTCTTTACCAGACCAAATTGGAATGGATTTTAAATCTCTCACTAGCTAAAGAAAAAAAAAAAACAAAAAAAAAATTATTTCTATTTTTTTCCCATCAAATTTAAAAAAAAAAAAAAAAAAAAAACTCTTTTTCTCAATAAAAAAATATTAAATATATATTTTTTTTAATAAAAGTCCGATTTTAAAAATAAAATAAATATATTAAAAAATAAATAAATCTTTTACAAGTAGTTTAATAGATCAAAAACAAATATTTATTTTTATCATTTATTTTAAAATTTAAATTCTGCACCCATTTAAAAAAAATAAAAAAACAATAATTATTATTTTTTTTGAAATTTTTTTTTTAATTTTTTTAAAATTTTTTTTCAAATTTTTTATTTCTTTTTTAAAATTAATATACAATTAATTAAATAAAAACTATCTATTTTTTTTAAAAAAAAAATACCAATACCCTTTTGTTTTTTTCTTTTTTTTTTTTGTTTATATATATAAATAAATAATTCTTTTTTTTAAAAAAGAAAGTGGGGTATTAAAATTTAAATTTGATTAACTTCAAATGAAAACCTGATCCATTCATACAATAATGGCTGCTAATTTTTGGGAATCTTCTCATTGGTAACTATATGTTAATATTTATTCATATATAAATATTTCCTTTTATTCATTATAATATTTAATTTTTTTTATTAACAATCAAGTAATGAATGGTTGTTGGATAGAAATAAAATTGAAGAGTCAAATTCTAAAGATAAATCATATTTAACTCCAATGGAATTGAAAAGATTAAGAACTCATTATTGCTTTGTAATTCAAAATCTTGGGAATGCATTAAAGTTAAGACAGAGAGCAACATCAACTGCAATTGTATATTTTAAAAGATTTTATTTAAAGTAAAACAAATGCATATATATTCACACAACAAAGAAAATAATAATAACATTAATATTAACAATAGTAATTTCTTTTAATTTATATAGGAATAGTTTTGTAGATTGCGAACCAAGATTAATTGCAGTAACATGTTTATATTTATCATCAAAAGTTGAAGAATGTATCACTCAAGCAAAGAAGTGTTCAGCAAAGATGAAAGAATTGGATCACACATTTAACTATACTATGAATGATATATTAGAGTGCGAGTTTTTCGTTTTGGAAGAATTAGCATTTTGTTTAATTATCTATCATCCATATAAAAGCTTGCCACTATATCTCCAAAATAGTGGTTTAGATATGGCCTCAATCGAAATTATTTGGGGTGTTGTAAATGACAGTTATAGAACTGATGTCTGCCTAATGTATCCTCCATATGTCGTAGCTTTAGGTTGTATTTATTTGGGTTCCTATCTCCTCAAAAAAGATATTAAACAATGGCTTTCAGAATTAAATGTAGATATGAAAGAAATTTGGGAAGTCTCTAAAGAACTAATAGATTGTTACGAATTCGAAAAACTTTCTTCACAAAATCCAAGCGAACCAGATTTCCTATATGCAAAATTACCAATAAGAAATAAAAAATAATAAAATTAAATTTGTAAAATAATCATTTTATTTAATTTCGTAGTTTTATAGTTTTTATTAATTTTTAATTTTCAGTTCTTTTTTTAAATTTATTTTAGTATGAAGATGGGGATGTGTTGGTTCGGATGATGAATCAGATGGATGAGATGAGATGAGTCTGATGGAGTTGGGTTTGATGATGATGAATCAGATGGATGAGATGAGGATGAATCAGATGGATGGCTCGATGAATCAGATGGTGGTGATGGTGATAGAGTTGGTTTATTTGTTGGTGATGGTGTTGGTGTTGGTGAATGAGTTGGTGATGGTGATTCAGTTGGATTGTTAATAGTAAACTGTGTGGTGGTTTGATTTAAAATTGAGCTATACATAGTACCACATTGTCCTGCACACATAATAACAGTAACTGGATAAATACCATTTGTAAATGTTGAATTTTTTGAAGTTTCGAAATCAAAATTTGTTTTATATAAACCTGGTGTATAACCTTCGAATAATTGGAATGTCATATACTTTGATTGATTTTTTGTGTAATAAATAATTAATGCAAATTGACCTGGTCCTGTAGAGTTTACAACCTGTATTGATAAATCAATAGTAAAACTATCACCTGAAATTCCAACTTGTGGAGAAACCCCAATTGTTAAAAAGTTTGCTGCTGGATTCTTTGGTGTATCACATGCTGTAATTAATTGACATGCATAAAATGGATTTATATCATTTCTTTATATTAAAAAAAAATAATTAATATTATATTATATTATATTATATTATATTATATTATATTATATTATATTATATTATATTATATTATATTATATTATATTATATTATATTATATTATATTATATTATGCTATTTTTATATTATAATCTATTATTATTATTATTATTATTATTATTATATTATTACTTATTACTTACAAGACAAAAATTTTCCAAAATTCATCGACACCAACTAAATCGCAAAGTGATTCACAAATATCAATTTCTACAGTTTTATTTAAATAACCACAAATTTTAGGACATGTTTCAATTACTCCATATCCTGCTATAATTTTTACAAGTGTTGGTAAATAATCGTCTAAAAAGTAAATACATTCT